ATAGACAGACAAACGGATAGAAGGACATAGTCAAATTGAATCAGAAGGAGACGCTAAATGTATTCTTAACTAACTTTATATGTATCGAGGAGAGACTAATACAATAGTATTGGTTTGCTCTTAATCCTTTCCTTTCACCCCGACAAGAGCCGGTTGTGTGTCCTTCTAATCCAGTTAGTAAATAACAACAAAGGGTTAGAAGGACAGCCAAATTGAATCCGAAGGAAATGCTGAACTTGTTCTACTAACTTTATGTGTATCGAGTAAAGAACAATACACCCCACATTTGTAACCTTAAGGTTGCTGGTAACAGTGTCGAGAATTTGAGTGGCTAATTAGAGGTATTTGAAAAAATTTATAGGGACAGACGGACAAATGAATATACATATAGACAAACGGATAGAAGGACATAGTCATATTGAATCAGAAGGATATGCTGAACTTATTCAAATAACTTTATATGTTTCGAGAAAAGGCCTATATAATAGCATTGGTTTCCTTTTAATCCTATTATTTCACTACGACAGGAGCCGGTTGTATCTCCTAGTCCAGTTTATAAATAACAACAAACGGATAGAAGGACATAGCCTAATTGATTCCGAAGTAGATTCTGGACTTATTCAACTAACTTTATATGTATAGAGGAAAGACCAATACAATAATATTGGTTTCCTCTTAATCCTTTCCTTTCAACATTATATCCCACACCACACTTGTAACATTAAGGTGGCTGGTGTGTCCAGAATCTGAGTGGCTAATTAAAGGTAATGGTGCCAAAACTGCCAAATAAAATAAATAAGATGGAATCCTTACCAGAAGATGATCTTTTAGCCTTTGGACTTTGGTAGACATAGTAATGTTCTACCTTTCTACAAAGGTCTCCTCCCAATCAGAGGCCGAAAACTGTGACCTATTGAGTATGGAGGAAGAGTCAAAAATACATCCTTATAACAAGATATATCCAGGAGCTATATATTCTTGACAATATGGCTAAGAATGCTGCAAATTGTATGCGTGAGTGCTGTGGTGGATGAGTACGAAAAGTTTTTGGGAAACCGCAACCAGCATGACTAAGACAGCAGCCCATTATTGGGCACCGTAACATTACGTTTGGTACATCTCACAGCGTCAGTTGTTTTTACCTTTAGTTCATCTCACAGCGTCAGTTCTTCTAAGCAAAATTATCCCAAATTCAGAAAGATCTCTTCAAAAAATTCCGCAGCAGACGAGTAATAAAAGTTTTTGTAATCCGCAACCAGCTTGACAAAGACTACAGCCCAATATAAAGAAAGATCCAATTGAAATTGATTTTAGGTAGATGCTAATAAATCGTCAAAAAGTAGAATATTCGCAGACAAAAACCCGCTCTAGGACCATAAACAAATACGGTCACGTATGCCCTTTAAAAAGATATTGGAAGGCATTCTCTTCATGACTCAGGGAAACTACGAGTATGTTATGGCGAACTAGGAAATACTGGAACAGCATGACACCTTATTTTGACTCTGATAAGCTTCCTTGGGTATACAGGGTGATCAAATATGTTAAAGAGTTCTCCAAAGATTTAACGCTAAGACTGGCAAACATTTAAACATTTGAAGATGTGGAACAATAACTCCGACATGGATGACCAAACAGGCCAATGTTCATAGTCATTGGCATCCTTCCTATGTAAGAGTACCGCCTAGACCAGCGATGCAGATAGAAAACGGTCTTTGTTAGAATTTTTGAACATGCAGAACACTAACATTCACATGGATGACCAAACAAGTTCAAAGTCCTCTGCATAACGTCATCATACTGTGTGCAGCTAAAGAAGGCTTCAGAAGACGTTGATGCGGCCAATTCTCTGCTCACTAGTAAGAAGATCACCAAACCAATATTTAAAGCTTTTGATGGACTATTCGATGTGATCGAATCTAGCTGCGAACCCACTGAACATCATTCCATCTTATGAAGTAAATTTGCAGAATTTTTCCTAAAAATTAAAACATTTCTCTTAACATAAACTTCTTATTTAGCACTTGTTTAATCTTATACATACATTAATTTAATTCCTTTTTTATTTAAAAATTTTCATAATTTTTTTTTTTTGGAAAAAATACTTAAAAATTGCAATTTAAATATTCGTTATACTGCTGTTTATTTTTATTTTCCCAAAAATATAGGTATATAATATTTTTAAATTTTTTTTAGAACCAGTCATTTATTTATTTTTTTTTTTTTCATTTACGTTTTTTGTTGCTTTTTAACTTAAATTTAAATTAGTTTAATTATTTAGGTTTTTTTATTAATATAAAGTTTAAATTTTGAATTAAATTGCTTTTAAAATTTTAGAATAATAAGAATGTTGTGTTTAAGAGTTTTTTTTATTTTAATACTTTGTTTTTAAGTGTTTTGTATTTTTAATTAATTTAAATTAAATTCGTGTTTTTAATTAAAAATTTTAATTTTTTACGTTTTTTTTATAAAATAAGTCTTGAACTTAATATTAATTGTTGGTTATTTGCTTTTTGTTCTTTTGGGGCAAATTTTTTTTTTTATATATTTGTAAATTTTGTTTTTGTTAATCTTAAATTATTAAGGGTATTATTAAAAATATTTTTTTAACATCTAATTTTTTTTTTGTTTTGTTGATTTTAAATTTAAACTTAAAATTTATGTAAAATAAGTAAATTTAAATGTGTATTTCGTTTTTTAAATATTCGTTAAATTATTTTGTTTATATTAATAAATTTTCATAAGGTTTTTGTGTTTTTTGTGGAAAATTTGTGTGATTGTGTTTTGGGGGGTTTGGTTGGTTTTTCTTTTAATAAAAGAGTTGCATTTATGTTAAACATTTTTAATTGAAGCTAATGTATAAGAAAATTTTATATTAGACAGATTTTACTCGACTAAAATAATAAAATGTTCATTGTATCGATCAGTTAGAATGTTGAAACACACGAAAGATTACGAAGATGGAACAACTTTTTAAATAATTTCCACTAATCCCAGTATTAGTTGGTGGGCTGATTCCGAATATTGAAATAAAAAAGTCACCCACCAATTTTCCACATTATCATCTTTTAGTCCTATCGTCCGATAAGTCTTACGTCCTTCCTACTTAAAACCTTAGAACGGATAGTCGATAGTATGGTTAAAAAAAACATACCAGACAAAGACCTGAAATATAAGCAGCATGCTTATGTAAAGGGACGATCGGTGGAAACAGCTTTAAACGAAGTTGTCCCCTACATAGGTGAATCCTTCGATAGCAAACTGTGTACAGTGACCGGTATGCATTGACATCGAAGGAGCCTTCAATAACGTGCACACTGATACTCTTATCCAATACCTAGATCAGTTTTATGTTGACCGGGTGCTCCGTAAGTGGATCAACTACATGCTAAGGAACAGATGGATAAGCTGCGAGATGTACGATATAACTATCAGGAAAACGATATTTCGCGCTATACCACCTGGAGGGATTTTGTCACCTTTATTCCGGGTTACCACGATTAACAGCCTTCTAAGGACCCTAACTGATAAAGGACTTACCCTGTCTATGCAGATGATGTCGTAATACTTTTAAAGGGAAAGTGTAGAAGAGCTAAGAAGGCTATGAATACGGCCTTAAGCTGGGCTCAACCTAGAAGCCTCAACATTAACACGGCAGAAATCTGTCTTTTCACAAGAAAGACAAAAATTTTTACGTATTCTGAACCTTGCTTCCTGGGAAAGAAGATAACGGTGACAGACAAAGTTAAATACTTAGGTGTAATCCTTGACCGGAAATTAAAATGGAGTCACCACACATAGAGGATAGGATCAGCAAGGCACATCGATGCTGGGCGATATGTAGGAGACCTACAGGCATGAAATAGCGTCTTATTCCTACCATGACAAATTGGCTTTATAAAAGTGTAATTAGTGCAATTCTAGCTATGCCTCAATAATCTGGTGGACTGCTTTGGACAAAAAGTGTAATATCAAACTACAACAGGGAGTTCAGCGTACATGCTGATTGGGTATAAGTGGTGCCATATGTACTACTTCAACCATGGCTCTGGAAACGATGCTAGATATTCCACTCATTGAAACATATTTAAGATATGAGGCGGCGCTTAAAGCCGAACGGGTCTTTCCTTTAGGTTAACTGACCAAAAGCGGTTATAGGACACATCATCAATGTATATTGGACACAGTGGAAGGATCATCGGATGTGCCTGATCATATATCAGACCCAGAAATTGTCGGAAACTTTCAAAAGCTGATCCCAGATAGAATGTCTAGGTCAAGCAGTACACTAGGCAAATTAACAGTAGGAATCAGTTATTACATAGATGACTCTAAATTGGGGGACAGAGTGGGCTTGGGTTTCTATATAGAAGACATATAAACATAAATATACTACCGTTTACCTAATCATAACACAAGTTTCCAGACAGAAGTCCGAGCAGTAACAGAATGTGCAAATTTGATTAGAATAAATATGGATCCTACAGGGCTTTATATATTTACCGACATCCAGAAGGCAATTAGGGTGATATTAGGAGATAGAATTAAATCTAAGACCATGTTGGAGGTAAGGTTTACGTCATATGGGTACCAGGACACTTGTCTCGTCTCGGAACGAGACGCGAATGTAATAGCTTTAAAGTGAAGGGAGCTCGAGGTAGTTAACCTGACAAATGCAAAACCTTTCGACGCAACAAAAGCTGAATTAAAAATATGGGCGAAAGAATCCCATAAGGCATCTTTGAATAATGAAACGGTGGATAGAACCACACACTTCCTATGGGGTGACCCTGATGAGGGTAAGACGAGAAATCTCCCCAAAATGAGCAAGTCCGAGGTTAGTATGATGCTACGTATTCTGAGTGGACACACATGATTACGAGCACATCTATGCAAAATTGGACGTGCGGATTCAGACGAATGTAGAGCATGTGGAGAGGACAGTGAAACTCTGGAGCACTTTCTTTGCCACTGCCAGGCATTCTTGGAAGTAATGTTATTCCGGAAATAACATTCCTGTCTAACACTGATTGGAAGATTCTTAGGAATTACGTCCAGGAAACTGAGTTTTTGGACGTCGAAAAATAATACATTTAGTGATTTTTTTGTTTAATGAAAAAGAGCGTACAACAGGCTCGATGGTGGTCTAGGTGTATTTTTTATTAACCCTTAAACGTAAATATATTTTTATAATTATATAAAATGTCCGTAATATATGAACAAAATATTTGATGCTATTTTGCGAGAAAATGGTGAATGATAGAAAAACACAGATATCAGATTCGATTTAAGCAGTTAAAAATACATTAAAAATAGTCGAATTGGTTTCAAAAGTTCTTACAAACTTTAATTTCATTGGCCTGTGTTATTATAGGAGAGACACGACTAGTTTGTTAGTCCACTGTGCGTCAACTAATTATTTGTACATGCGAAAGCTGAACATAAGTACTTACATACTTATCAGATTGTATGTCAGTCATTACTAGGCTACTTGAAAGTAATAAAGATGATATGAAGTAGTCATTGAAGAGTAAACTTTGAGTAGTTAATTGGAAATCATTGCCAAGTTTCTTTGATCAATTTGAAAATAATATTTCTATGAGCATGATATTATTATAAATCTTATAAATCTGGCGAATGAAATAATCTTTAATCGAGATCATTAATACAAAGGTCCTTTTAGCTGCCAATTTGGTTTCATAATTAAAAATATATCTAAAATATACTAAATTTCATACGAAACATAAATGCAACTCTTACTTAAACGATCATATGCATCACATTGTTCAAATAGTTCACAAAGTAAACTTAAGTTTTACCTCTTATCAAGAAAATTTTGTTTAATTTTATAAAACGAAAGAAAATATTTTCCAAAATTTGGAATTTAATAAATACGCTTAATTCCTCAAATATTTGAACAATGTGATTATAGCTTAAATTTACTTCTCATAACATTTCTGGTACATAAATAATTTTTTTTTTCCTTTGCATAGCCAGCTTGTGTTAAGTCTTTGTGTTGTCTGTTTATATCCTGCCACTATCTTAAAGATATTTTATTTTAAATTTAATTTATTTTCAAAAAAATATTTGTTTGGTAGCTTAGCTAATTTAACATTTAAATTTTGTTTTTGTCAAAAATATTTTGTGTTTTCTTTTAATATGATTGTTTTAAGCAGTTTTTCGATTTTTTTTTTTTCATACTTTACCGGAGTTTAGCTTAATTTTCATTCATGTCCTTGATGGCCTGTAAGATACGTTTGACATGACCCACTTTAATGACACCCAAATCTTTAAGATCACGACGACCGAGAGTAAGCAACTCTTTGCCACGTATATCGTTGCGTAAGAAACTATCAACATATTCGGAAAGTTGCATGGTTTCCAGCCAGGTAATGACTTCATTAACACTCCAATTGCTGACCGCTTCACGGGTATTGGTGAGAGGAGGTTTGAATTGTTGTTGACCAGCAGTGGAGCCGGAACGTAGGCGGGTCCAAAAAGCGCGTGATTTGCGGCGTCCATCACCCTAAGGGGAAGAGATAAAGAATATTTATTTTTTCCCTGTTAGGATACCTTTCTAGCTTACCTCTTCGTTGGGAGCCAAAACATTGAAATAGGCTCTTAATTTGCCATCTACACACTTCTGCACCGAACACTTCTTCAACTCCATTTCCATGTTAGCCAAGGCCGCACTTAATTTACTTTCCAAATCTTCTCTCAATATCAAACTATGACCACGATCTCTTAATAAAGTGCAAGCATCATCGTATAGTTGCCTTGAAGAATCTATAACCTCTACTAGTTTGGTTCTCAAAGAAGGACCCTCCAATAGTTTACCCTGAGGATGTATACTCTCCAAAGCATCCTGAGCACGACATGCTACCGCATAGAGATCATATCTCAAGGTGGGATGTGATATTATCAAGAATTTCACCCATTTTACTAGAGAACTAACGGCCTCTATGAAATTAAGTAAAACATAACATTCACGTTCCGAAATAACTTCATCCGTGGAGTTGGCATGCTCCGAAGCGGTCGAAGAATGATCTCGTTGTATTGATATGCTGTGTTGACGTTGTTTCTCTTGCCAGGTTTTGAGTGAGGCCTCCAGAGAGCGATTACGACATAACATTTGTACACGATTCTTGTGGAGTATACGTATCATACCGGGTGGCTGTAGCCAGGCTTCACCATCTACCTGTATGGGTATTTCTTCGTCTCCTAGAATATTGATTTGTACACTTTGACATTGAGCAATGCGATGATGTTGTAGATTTATAAGTCTGGAGGCGGCCATTTGTACAGAACCAAAAACAGCCACCACTTCTAAAATGCGATCATCAAAACTGGGTGACAGGAAAATGTCATCCTTTTTGGAATTGCCCCAGAAATTAGTGCCACCCATGAAGCTAAACAAAAAGCACATAAATATTAAAATGTCCAGGATTTAATCAAACAAAAACCCACCTGGGTATATTTAAAATAACAATACCCTGCAATGAAGGCAAGGGAATTCTCTGGCCATCACATTCCAGCTGAACACGTTGCTCCAAATTCTTACAGGTCTTCTGCAGCAATTGCTTTGAACCCAAAACGCCATACCACATATAGTTCTTGGCTCTGGAACGGCACTTTTCGGGATGCTCCTCACGTTTATTATGGAAATCTAAGGATATCTTGGCATCGATACCAATACCAAAATAATTATTCATAACACATTTTTCATGATAGCCAGCCAATAAGGTTTCATCAGGATCCATAAGAGGACTAACAGCTGCACACAAAGTATCGGCATTGGCCATTAAGCATTTCGAAATAAAACCAGAACCTCCTGTAAGATCTAAGACATAATAATTTTAAGTTTTATCCCTTTCTAATAAACAAACATTCTCATCATTAAAATACTTGGCCAATTGGGTAACTTCACTATGGGATTTATGATCGGCAATTTACGATTCTCTTCAGTGGGAGTTTTTTCCTTCTCCTTTTTATCCTTGTCCTCTTTTTCGGGAGTAGAGCCGGCGGCAGCAGCAGCAGCAAAATGATCAAAACCAAATAAAGTTGAACCCATAAACAAACTGGTCTTGGAGCCTTTAAGATTTTGCAAATTAGGCAATGCTTCATTGGGCTAAAATGATCAAACACATTTACACTTTAATTATCAAGCTGTAGAAATTTTTAAGTTCAAGGAACTATAGATTTTAGCTTTGCAACAAACTACTAGAGAATATGAGGGTATGTTTTGAAAGTTTAAGCAGTTGTAAGTTTGTAAAATTACATATGTTAATAATACAATAAAAGTTTTTGTTTTGGAAATTTCTCAAAAAAACAAAAACAATTAACTACATACAAATTAGAATTTGGATAGTGAACTACAGAAAAAAATAATACCTTTTTTTAATAGTTTTTCTAATCAAAGGATAGGTTTTGTTTTTGTCGGATTTGGTTGAAAGTACATATTTATTGGTTGTTGGGTTAAACTTTTTGTTTTTTGTTTTTTTTTTTTTTTGGTCTTACCAATGGTATTAGTGGTCTGATTAAAGCTAATGTTGCTAAACGTATATCGGGTTCCGCAACCACAAAAAATCTTAAACCCAAAAATCCATATGCTCGTTCCGACATACACATACCCTTCGATTTTTTCTTCTATAATAAGAGTTTGTAGCCAGAAAAGATATACATATGTATAGAGTAGATAGCGTGTAGTGTGTGTGTATGTATGTTAAATTAGTTTAATCGATAGTTGGTGATTTATAGTTTTAATATAATTAAAGGAATTTTTATATCTGCTATGGAACTGGTGGGGAGGGTAAATTGGATTTGTGCTGATGTTTGTAACGAACAATAATATTGGTCCTTTACCCACCTTAATGTATAAATCTGAGTCGATTTAGCTATGTCCGTCCGTCCGTCCGTCTGACTGTCTGTCTGTCTGTCCGTCCGTCTGTCCTTCCATGTAAATTTTGTAATCAAACTACAGGTTGCAATTTTGAAGATAATTCAATTAATGTTATTACATGATATTCTTTTGTTCCAGGGACGAAGCCTATCGAAAATGGTTAAGAGGTTCATTATTTCACCTAGCCCCCATGCTACTGAACTCCTGAATAGGGCTTGTAAACCTTGTAATCAAACTACAGGTCGCAATTTTGAAGATAATTCAATGAAATTTAGTACATGATCTTTTATGGTACCGAAGACTAAGCCTATTGAAAATTGTTAACATCGATCCATTATTTCACCTAGCCCCCATACAACTGAACCCGACGAATAGGGCTTTTAAGTTTATAATTATGTTTAATATACTCGTATCTCGACAAAAGGCTGCAAAACGAAGTTCTATACTAGCCTTGATGACCCTAATGAATTTTATAATTATATGGTCTCATTAGACCATAGCCCCTATTCAAAGCCCCCTTCAAAATTTGACTTAAATATCCACAATTTTATTCAACAATATATGGCTTAAGTATATCTGATATTATGAAAACTAAATCACATTTTATTTTTGTAATAGATGTAGGGTATTATATAGTCGGATTCGCTCGACTATAATTGCTTAGTTGTTTTTTTATGGAATATTTTGCAGTTTAAATATTAGTCTTCTACAAGGATTATAAAAGCTATTAACAAAATTTCTTCCAAATTTTCCCGAATCACATAGTCTTTTAAAGAGCCTCTTTGCCTCTATTGACTGGTTATCCGAACACAAGCTTTCCTAATTTCGACCATTTTGTGAATTTGTTTGTTAAACAAAAATGTATACTTATCTTGGGTCCTTAGTAGATTCTAAAATCCATGTCCGCCCGTCCATCCGTCTATCTGTCCGTCCATCCGTCCGTCCATCTGTCCGTCCACAAAAAACGATAAAGCCTAAACCTAAGACTCTTAAATGCTAATGAATCAAAATCTCTCATAACTATCGATTCATTATTGACCCAACACTTCATATAACCGCCTTATAAAGAATATCACTTTATTTTCTTTATTGATCCTTCAAAACGACTGCAATAAAGTCACTATTCTCTTTACTAAACTAGATTCCAACGCCAGTTCGTTTGGTCGTAAAACAAGAACTAAATGTAGCTTTCAGATTATCAACAATAGGCGAATGGATGCACAGATGCTATTGACTTTTACTCTTTAACAGAAACTTCTGCTTCATAATTATGAAAGAGAAAAGCGAGTGCCATTTAGTGGACATTTGATGGACCTTCAGAAGATAAGAAAATAGTTCAAGAGATAGTTTTTTAGATCTAGCCATGTCCGTCCGCCGTCCATCCATCTGTCTATAGAAAACACTATAAAGTCTAAACTAGAGAATCTTAAGTGCTAATGAATCAAAATCTTTCATAATTATTGGTTAATTATTGACCCAAAAGTCTAAACTAGAGAATCTTAAGTGCTAATGAATCAAAATCTCTCATAATTATCGGTTCATTATTGACCCAACACTTTATATAACGGCCTTATAAAGAATATCACTTTATTTTCTTTATAGATCCTTCAAAACGACTTCGATAAAGTCGCTATTCTCTTTACTAAACTAGATTCCGACGCCAGTTTGTTTGGTCGTAAAACAAGAACTAAATGTAGTTTTCAGATGTTTATGACCGCGATCATTATATTTTATTATTTTATACTTATTTTTATAATTCATAATATTGATTTAACATACATATAAATACAACATTGTAAAGATCATTTTTTTGAAACTTTGGTAACACTGTGACAGACGAAAGGGAAGGAAGAAAGGATAGACAGAAAACCAAGTAGAGAACAACACTTGAAACCACTAAGTTCATTACAGACTTTATACAACTTATATTAAATGTAAAACCAGTGAAATAAATAATTTTATGTTCTAATTAAAATACAAATATCCGTGTTTAATTTTATACAGTCCGCTAAAGAATCGAACATAATTTTTGGTCCAATCGACCCAGATGCGGTTGTGTAAAGTCAAGTGGATTACGAATTTATTAAAATTTGCATAATAACAAAAACGATACATACGCGTCGCGCAAACGTGGTAGTTTTTCTTATTTTTATTAAATTTACCAACGACAACAACATCGGGTGTATACATGTTCAACTGTCTTACATAGGGAAAACCACCCTTAAGGAAAACAATCGATAAGAGTGATCATAGTGATTCTTTGTTAATACGTGTGTCGTATATATGTACATACGGAACGTGGATAATATAATTTGTCATACATACATACAGAATATAGCTTACATACATAAGTGTCTGGAAGTGTTTATCGTAAAGTACATAAGGCAAAAGTTCCAACATACATGAAATTTCTGTGGAGCAAGAAAAGGAAAAGTGTTAACATACATGGTATATCAAAACAGTGTACGTACATGGGATTTCGGTTGGTACATACATTAGAATCAGTGGTCAAAAGATAAAAGACAAAAAGATCGTTTACATACATGAGTGAATTGGTATGAGAAGGACAAAACAATAAACAAGAAAGATACATGTGGATTAGTAGAACAGTGACAGTGTTGATATATTTGAAAAGGCAGTTAAAAGTTTTATTGTGAATGTGGAAGCAGTGCATTTGTAACTATAGTATAACTAGATTACAGTTTGACAAAGTTTAAAGTAGATCATTTAAAACTGTGTTTGATTTGGCAGTGCACTTGTAACTATAATGGAACTAGATCACAGTTTGATAAAGTTTAAATCAGTGCATTTGAAACTGGAATGTTATATGGTTGTGAGATTTGCTAAATAGTATGTGGATTTTGTGTTTTTGATTTGGCTTGATATTAATATTAAATGTGAAGTGGCTGGACTACAGAATAGGGTGTGCGTAATAAAGTTACTGTATGACATTGAATAACCGGCAATTAACATTTAGAACGAAAGTTATATTAGAGAACCATAATAAGGATAATTTTTCGGTAATTATAGAACGCGAATTCGTGCAAAATGGAACAATTAAGGAAGAAACGCACACAATTGAAAAAGTCGGTGATAAAATTGTATAATTTCATATCTGGCCATAACGTGAGTTACAACGATATAAAGGTACGTATGGAGGAATTTGAAAATGTTTTTATGAAATACAAGGACATTCAAGATGAGATTGATAGCTTATGCGATAAAGATTCTGACATTCAAAAGGAAGATGCATACCGCAATGAAATTGATGAAATGTATTTTACGGCTAAATCCATATACACGTCATATACTCAGGAAAATTTGGATAGTACGGTAATTGAGGGAGCAGCTGCAAGTACTCCACAACTTAATAATGATTTGACGGCATTATTACAGACAATGTCAACAACATTGACATCTGTCGTTAACTTACAGTCATCTGGCATGAATAATTCGAACATTAATAACAACAATTCGAGTATACGTTTACCTCAAATTGAGATTCCAGATTTTGATGGCAATTTATCAAACTGGATTCGGTTCAGGGATTTATTCAACGCCATGGTTGATGCTAGAACAAATTTATCGGACGTTGAGAAGCTAGAGTATCTCCAGACGAAACTCAAGGGCGAAGCATCGTCGATAATTAAGCATTTAACTCCTACGAACGGTAATTATAGAATAGCTTGGGACATAGTGAAGAAGAAGTACGACAGACCAGATCAAATAAAGGAGACATATATTAGACTACTTTTGACTCAGCCTTCGGTCAAGAATGGTACATTGTCGGAGATTAGAAAATTTTACAACAACACTATTGAGTGCTATAATGCTCTTTCTGTCTTATATGAATCCGTGGCTTCGTGGGATCCATTATTGCTATTCTTGATAAAGGAGAAGTTAGATCGGGAAACAATTACGCTGTGGTATCGTCAGCAGAATGATATTGATAGGCAGTCATTTAAGAAGTTATTAGATTTTTTGGAAAGTCGTGTAATAGAGTTGGAAAGTTTGGAAATACCTGATCAGTCATCTAAGTTCAGGAAACCTAATAAATTTGTTACAATGACAGCAACAACTCAATCGTGTCCAGTCTGCCAAAAAGATCATTTTTTATTTGCATGTCAACAGTTTAAGGATCTGAATATCGAAAGACGCAAGAACGTCGTTCTCAAAAGTGGTTTTTGTTTCAATTGTCTAAAGGAAAAACATTTTTCTAAGGATTGTAA